TAACTGTACGTTATTTTGAAGCGCATAGCGACCTCTACAGCAGACACCTTGGCTAAAGAAATTCTGAGCATCCTTGATAACAGGCAACAAGCCTAAACCTACTTGAAAACAATATTCACGGCCGTCAACGCATTAAAGTGGAATTCTTTCGTCGGAAAGAAGCTTCCTCAACAGCTGTTCCGTAGTAATGTTAAAGCCAGAACATGTATTGAGAAAGCTCTGTTTTGATGTACCTGTAGTACATGAGGCCTTGAATATACCTTGAAAACGATTGATTGCATGTATCTAGGCTTTTGTTCCGATGCTGTTGAAACAACATAAGGTGGCGAGGAGCCGAAGTTCTCAGGCAGCTGGGTGTAGTGAATGGGTTGATGTTCAGTAGTCTCCCTCTGTGTACGCCGGACGCCCCTTAGAAAAGCCAATTCGACAGAAAGCTTCTTATTGCTCCAACGACTCTAGAAGGCCACTTTTTCTTTTCGCGGTGGGAGGCCTTGCCCAAGCCGCATGTACGAAACATGTCTTCTGTGTCTCCGTCTCACAAATTCTGGTTTCCTGTTACCACCTAGATGTTCTAGTACTTTAAAAAATGACAGCACCAGCATGAATCATGTCAAACGTTGTACATTGTACTGGTAGCAAGCGCCGTCCTGCTGTCCCCGGACCGCTCCTTTGTTGGTTGGCATGCATGCCACCGGATAGCTTTTTGTAATCAGATGGGCAAGACGGTTTCTGACCGCTCTGGAGGTGGCCCAAACATAGGAAGCCACCGCCGCCAGGACTAAACCGCGAAGCCCAAGGCTCCCGCGAGCCCTGGCACTCCGACGGCGTCCTACCAAGGACCGCCCGACGGGGGGTGGCCCCTGCATGGGGTGCTGGACGAAGCTCAGCACAGAGGGCGTCCTCAAGCCGGGACCGCCGCTCTGTGGCACCATTGACGCAGCAACGGCACCTGCGACGAGGCCTGCAGCGCCTCCGGCGCCGCCTCTGCGACCGCCACGGCCACCACGGGCCGGGTCGGACTTGGCTGAGCCGTGGCCGCGGGTGGTTCCACCTCGCTTCTTGCCACGGCGGCGAAGAAACTGTTTCAGGCCGAGTTTCTCCGCCATCCTTTCGGCCGTTTGCTGATCCCTATCCTCTTCCTCCTCCTCTGAGGAAGAAGCACCCTCTGGATTAGGATCGGCGGTGCCGAGCACGACCTCGGTCGCGTGGTGCTGCTTCGTCGAGCATTTCCAGCATTGTTTCCTGAAACTTAGATTCCATTCTCCGCGTGTATCAGCATGCGGGCACCGCCATGCGGAGCGGGCCAGAGCCTGGCTAAGAGCCATCGTCTGTTCCCCTCGGAAGGAAACCCAAAGAGAGCTGGTCGTGTGACATGAAGGCTCTTACAGGCCTCTAAGAATCAGGGACTCCTGCGTACATCGGCTTTTCTGCAGGCACGATTGCCGCACATGCCGAAGCCAGAAAACAAGTTTCTTTGCGCAGGGGCTGTGATGCAGCACTTTGCGCCAGTGTCGGTTAGATCCTGCCTGGAGCCCAGCAACTGCATGCTAGGCTCCAGGCTGTGGACTTCTGTGATTAGTCAAGGCATCTGAGTCTTCATGGGTACCACAATTCTTCGCTAGGGTCCTAGGTTCCCGAACTGAGCTATATACATATATGACATGAGTACATATACCAAAAAGAATTGTTGCACCGATGTATTTATGCATTTTTTAAACCGAAAGTATTGATTGTAATCAACGGATAATTATATCAATGATAGAAACCATCTTATCAATCGAAACTGTGGCAATAATGGTGATGATATCAATGTTTGTGATATTACGGCCAAAAGCCCAGGCAGGGATCCAATAGATGGCCCTCGTGGGGACGAGTGCCTGGGCTATCTGCCTGGTTCTCGGCTGCTATGTGGAATTTATTCCCTGCCGAAAAAAAAAAACACCCCCTAATGCTACTAGCTCTCACTGCTAATTAAGCAAATCATTCTACAGCAGTGGGGGGATTGAATCATTGCGGTCGTGGCCTTGTGCTACAATCTAGATTAGTCCCTTTCCCTAAACACAACCGTCTCCTCCTAAATGAACTCTGCTCGGAGGATGTATGATAGGCTTTTTTATTACCAGGAAGTGTAGGATAAAAGCTCATGTGAGTCAGTTGTAATCTAGCTAAAAGATTGACATCTCGAGGTCCAACTCGAGGTCCAATTAAAAACGGTTTTCTAGTTGCTGAGTCAGTATGAATATAAGAACTCTTCAAAAAAGCGATTCGAACGTATTGAAGATCAGGAAATGCAGGACATCCCCAATCAATTCTACTTGTATTCCCTGGGTCTCTCTCATGATTCTACACCCTCTATAAAACCTTATCTAAAAGCACCCATCACCAAGCTTCAAAATGGAGGGCATCATTTAGGGCATAGGATATTTTCGTGAGTAACTATATCCCTAAACCAGCTGCCAAGCTCCCTCCCTCCGCTAGGCTCTAAGCTGCGCATAGAAACTAATTATGGCTGTTGAAAGGTATAGTCCCCCTTAAGTAAATAGAATAGGGCTTTGGGTATATTATTTTAAGATTCCTTTCTACCCCATATTCTCTCTACTAAGGGGGACTATAGCTAGACAGAGCGGCTTGCATGTCCTCTGCAAGAAAGGCATGAAGGGAGGGAGGAAGGGAGGGAGGGAGGGAGGTAATCAAAGGGATCCTAAGTTTTTGCAGTCCCTATTATTGGGATTTTAGGGATTTAGGGTTTAGGGTTACTATTATGCTTCCCCACATGACCGCAGAACCCCCCCCCATTTCTACGCGGATCCGTTTTAAAAGTACTCAAGTAGTCTTCAGGTAATTTCTGGAATTGGGGATTCTCTGGGAGGAGTATTTTTTGCTTGTTGGGGTCAGTATCAGGTGGGAAAGCGACTACTTAAAAGATGAAGTTGAAGGGAGGTCTAGGTAACACCCTAGCGGTTACGGAGGGTGATAGTGTTTCCACCATTCTAGAAAGGAAGGTGTCGTCTTGTGGCACGTCTCCCTGTAAGCAAGATTGCATATTGACTGACTCTGTCTGATCCGGGCCGATGCTGTTGCACAAGCACACACCTATAATCCCTATATAACCCCTATATTCCTTGTAGTTTCCATTTTATTTTCCATTACCCCAATATAACCCAAATAGTTTCCATTTTCTTTTCCATTATCCCCATATATAACCCCAATATAACCCAAATAGTTTCCATTTTCTTTTCCATTATCCCCATATATATCCCCAACATATTATAGTAGTTTCCATTTTCTTTTCCACCAGTTTGATTTCATCAGCACCTCTGATTTTGAGGGGCCTCGCCCGCAAAAAACTTGGGGGTGGTGTACAGTCGAATTGTTCCAGGCCCCTCCATCCATTCCCATACATGAGCCATAGGTTAAACTCCTTAAAGGGGTTATATTGGGGGATTATGTAGGGAGGTTGTTAAGGGGGATTTTAGGAGCTTAGACTATAGCTCACATGGCCCAACGCACAAACGCGATCAATACGACTGTTACCAGCCATTCGTTGTGACATCGTCCATCTCATTTGTCTCGCGAATCAAAGCCATGTAGCGGTGCACCGCCTTTCCCCAGACACCAAATGCCCATGGCAGCTCCAAACGTTCTAGATAGCCTGAGGAGGCATCTCGAGATGCATGACTGTATCATGAGGTCAAATGCACGACTGCCTAAACTCCTTAAAGGGAGTTATATAGGGGACTAATTCTTATAGGGGCAGTTAAGGGGGATATTAGGAGTTTAGAGAACAGCTCATGTGTTTTTAAACCTGGCTGCGCCAAGGGCCCACATTGTTTCCAACTACTGGAACCTGGCAACGTTCACAGTCTTCATGCAGGCCGGAGCCGGGGACGCGTACATCTGCCTGTGGCCTGTACAGACCTTACTGGGGGTTAAGGGTTAGTAGGGAACGAGGGAATATAGGTGTAACATAGGGATAATGGAAAAGAAAGTGGAAACTATTGGGGTTATAGTAGGGAATAGGGGTTGTGTACTGCAAGGACTATATTTCCTTATTCCCGATTAAGCACGAGTAAGAGAAGGAATCCTGGCCCTTGGCAGATCCACCAGAATGGCCCAACTCAGACTCTCACATTAGACCTGCGACTGGGGCTCCTTACCAGAGCATGTAGCAGATGAGATCGAGAGGAAAGATTCTTGTAGGTTCATTGTATGTTCATTTTGCTGATAGTGTAGTATTCTTATCTAGTATCATAGCACTGTACGATATTATTCTGATTATTCTTATTATTGCTATTCATGATTGCAGTTTTCACCTGTGCTGCTCGGCGCAGGCGGATCCAAGCGAACACCTGCACTTCTCGTGCCTCCTCAGTCTGCCTTTCCTTGAACAGAAATGGCCTTTGCAATGGTGGCCTGACACGATATCTGGGGGTGCGGCAGAAGTCCACTCTTACTGGTGCCCTGCAGGTACTTGCATGTAGTTGCTAAGATGGTGGCTTCTGCAACCTACGCGCTGGCCTCAGCTATGGTAAGTGCGCCAATCACTGAATTTTATCAGACATGAGCATGCATCGGTCCATGAAAGGGTCGACCGCAGCAGTTGCATTATCCTCTGATGCGCTACTCCCTTGCCGTAGTAATACCAGGAATATTTATCATATAACTCTATCAATAATAGTGCTATAGCAACAGCATACTGACAATATAACAAACCTACCAGAATTTATCCCCGACACTGATGTGCCTCACCGCAGATCACTTGAAGCTCTCGAGACGTTTGAACAAGTGCTGCAGGTTGCCTTGCATTGGGCGTTTCCTGTTGGCAGCAATGGACTGGGAAGTTTTCAGTCAGCGGGCCCTCCTTGAGCAAGTTTATGCTTGGCCCTTTCTACCACGGTGCCATGCACGTACACCCAGGACAACAGAAGCCAATAGCATATTGGCAAGCGAGCCTGCACCAGAACCAGGGGAAGCTTGGTCTCGACCCCACCACCTGGGCTATGGCCAGCCGGAGTCTGCCCTGGAAAAAAGTGGTACAGCTTTGGGTCGATCTTCGGAAGAGGAGGTGCTTGGCTTGGGATCTGCTCCATGGACAGCTCTGCCGAGCTTACGCCAGAGGCCACTGGAGCCTTGCTCTCAACATGCTCGGAGAGATGCGGCCGCGACGTGCTTCACATGACTTGGTCTCGTACAACATGGCCAGCAGCGCCGCCCAAAATGCTGGCCAATGGAAATGGGTCTCCCTGTCGTGTAGCCAGATGTGGACTTTCCACCTGGTGCCTGATGCTGCGACATACTGCATCGCAGTGACGGCAGCTCAAGGAGCAAGACAGTGGCAGCAGATAGGAGACTCCTTGCACATACTTCTGAGGCAGTCTTTGGTCCCAAATGTGGTGCTATACAACGCGGTCATCAGTACTTCTGCCAAAGTGGTTGCATGGTTGCAAGCTTTGCAATACGCGGAAGCTATGCCAGAGAAGCACATCAGGCGGGATGTCATCACCCACAACGCAGTGATCAATGCTTGGGATCGGAGTCGGCAATGGCAAAGAGCGCTCCGCGCATTCGTTCTGCTTGAAGCATCAGTTCAGCCCAACGCAGTTTCGAGTGGATCTTGCGTGGCTGCATGTCAGCGATCCATTCAGTGGGAGGTGTTTGATTTATCCTCAAAGACCTTAGGCACTCACAGCTAAGTACAGTGTTGGTCCCAATCACCCTCAAGTAACAAGACTTGGGAGAGACCTCTCTGTGCTGGTGACCCCAGGCGGCATATCACCTGGTGGAACAGCGGGTGGGCTCCAACATCGTACGAAACTCAGCCCTTGCCGCATCCGCCCAGGGTCAGGCTTGGCAGCAAACTGCGGGACTTCTGTTGGCTGTTCAAAGCAGAAATCTTAGACTGGACCTGGTTGGCTTCAACACTATTCTGAGTGGAGGGGCTCACGCTGAGGAGTGGGCGCAATCTGTTCTGCTTTTCCAAAACTTCGCAGCCGGCAAGACCAAACTTGACGGAATTTCGTACAGCTCAGCTGCTGGTGTCATTGCCGCTGCTGGCCGCTGGGACCTGTCGCTCCACTGCCTGGTTGCTTTGCTTTCTACAGGCCGAGCTTTGAACGTGGTTTCCGTCACCGAGGCGGTCCGCGCTTGTGGGAAGATGGGTATGTGGAGACCAGCCATCCTAGCGCATAGCATCCTAGCCGGGAGAAGTATCGAACCCAACATGATTTTGAACAATGTGATTCTCAACGCGCTTGAGATGACGAATCGGTGGGCCGAAGCCCTAAGTTGGAGCGCGACTGCCAGAAGCTTGACAGTGCAGACTAACGAGGTGGGGCGTCTGAACATTGGGCGTCAGCATGGGTGCGTGCAGCAAGCAGGTTCCTATGACCCCCGCAGATGAGTTGGACATTTCTTGAACATTAATTTCCTAGTAAACCAAGATCTCTTGGCTCATGCGCATGTTGAAGCAGATGCTCTGTGTGCCACGACTCGGGCCTATGGATAGACATTCGTCTTCCTGACTGACTGTCACACACGCCAATTTTTGTAAATCCCAAACCCTGCAAGGCCTAAATCAGACCCAATACCATTCATTCATACAAGTAGCAATTAATTGAAGGGCCGCAACTAAGCTGTAGGCATGTACCGGAAGGGCCCAGCCAGGTGTCCCGTGGCTCGTTACTGAACGCGTGCAGCAGGAGCAAGCGCTGGCGTTTGGCTCCACTCCTTTTGGAGGAAGCAGAACTCCGCCATTTCATTGGTTTAGGTTTCAGGTTTTAATGTTTAGCTGCTTCGTTTTTTGAAGATTCGATTTTTGGAGAGGTTGAGGGCTCAAGATGGCGTCATAGTCCTTCAGAGCTTCGCTGGTTGGTAGTCGTGCAGTTAATGAGCCCATAGGTTGGAAGCAGTGTTTGTAGCCAAGCTGGGTACCTACTGACAGACAGGGGCCGTCTACGGCTACGGGAAGAGTCCTGTTTCAGTTCATAGTATATTGGGGTTTTATATGGGTATAATGGAAAAGAAAATGGAAGCTACTATAGTATAATAGGGTATATGTAGGGCACAAAACCCCAATATACTATGAACTGAAGCAGGACTCTTCCTTTAGCCATAACTGAAGCATCTTCTAAGTTGTTGAGTGGGTTCACCTCTTGTAGCGCCGCAGTATACCTAGCGGCGCTAGCGTAGCGAAGCTTCAACTCCGCCGCATAATCAAAGAAAAGGAGGGTAGCAATCAAAATCCAAGAATCTAAGTCTACCTTCCTGAAGCCCATTTGGCAATTTCCCAAATTGGGGGGACCCCAATATAGACCCCCAAATACTATAGTCCTTATTATGGGGACCCCCAAGATGGTACCCCTAATCTTGGGAAACCCCCATTTAAGTCCCACGCTTTTACCCAGGAAGCAACTGGTGCTGCAAGCGGGGTGGTGTTCAACATTGCCATCTCTGCGGTGGGAGAGGTTTTCGGGTTTAGGGTTTAGGGGTGGGCGTTTCTCGAAGTTGTGGTTCTCGTCCTGGGATGCAAGCGCTGCAGTTACAGATGGGTTTACCTGAGGGAAGCAAGGAAGTGGGTTTTGTGCCCTACATATACCCTATTATACTATAGTAGCTTCCATTTTCTTTTCCATTATACCCATATAAAACCCCAATATACTATAGTAGTTTCCATTCTCTTTTCCATTATCCCCATATATAACCCCAATATATTATAGTAGTTTCCGTTTTCTTTTCCATTATCCCCATGTTCAGGTTGCAAGATGGCCAGAGGGAGCAGCTCTTCTTCAACAGATGTTGGCGCAGACTTTGCAGACCGACCGCGTGACTTGGACGGCCATCCTCACTGCCTGCCAGGATCCAGCGCGCAGCTTTCGAGACTTTTGACATAAAGAGTGCCCCAAATGAACACACGTACATTATTTGTGCAGATATGTGCATACATATATGTATATATATATATGCATGCGTGATATGTGTATATACATAATGATATTGATATCCATATTTATTTGTACAGACTTTTTATGTGTATATACACACACACAATCTCCTGAAGGCTTCCTCACAAGGCGAGAAAATTCACCCTGGCCAGGATCACTGGCGCAAAGCCTCTGCTATCCTGGCAGCCCTGAAATCAGGAGCTTCAGGGACAGCTTTGAATGCTGCGGTGAGCGTCATAGGCGGGGGATTGTGAAACAGATGGTCAGTTTCTCAGCACCCTGGACACATAATATAAGTGCCCAGACAAGGCAGCATGCTTTTGACAACCCTCAGGTGGCGTCAAGCAGTGGCAACGGGCATTGGCTGTCGTGTTCTGCTCCCGCGGGCGGTCTGCGCCGCACACCTCAGTCACTCAGAATGCGCTCGTGGATACCATGGGCGACCCGATTGCGCTTGGATCGTTTTGTCTTTATTTCTTTGCTGGGGACTATGCAGACCCCTCAAAAGGTTTCGCAGGGTTCAAACCGAGGCCATGGGGCCCAGTGGGAGCTTGGATCTCATCTCCTTGCTTCTGCCAGCAAGATGGCAGTGGAAGTTTCTGAGGCGGCTTATAGCATGGCCATTAACAGCTGTGAGAAAGCAGTGCTGGACAGGGCGGGTGGAAAATGCTTGTTCAGTTGAATGGAATTTTCTGTAGTAGGTTCCAGTAGTGTAGTGACATGGAAGGCACAGCTTGCTATTCTGACGAAGCCAGATGGACTCAATGAAGTTCTTGCTTGAACCTGCTACTGTCAGGTATGAGGCATGAGTGATGCAGCCAGCCCTTTGCCGTGTGATTGCTCAGAGTATGAGGCCGTGCCATTCCTGGCCTTGAATGGGGCAAGGCACAGTCTTGACATCTCGCCGCTGTGAGTCCTGGGCTACTGCAACTCTTTAGAGCCCATGCAACAATAATAGGACACAGGATATGGCATGTAGGGTGCATCGCCGGAGGTGGTCAGCTTTAGCCCACATTGCTCATCCTGTCTTCAAAGCCAGGCATGTTCGCACATACACCCCGTGCTTGAACGCAGTGCACGAGGCCGCTGATTTTGAGCGCAAGGGGTGGGCCTCTCATCGAGGAGAGGCATAGTGAGAGAGCAGTCTTTGCTCGCAGAATGGACCCCTTCATGCTTTCGCTGTCTATTATAGCGATCTATCTTGAGATAGGCTCGCACTATAACCCTCATAGATAGTAGTTGACGGCCAAATATCGGTTATCTTGTGCAACATCAGCGAAGCTCCCCGCCTACGGGGATTTCAAATCCGGATGCCCGAAAACCCCCGAAACCCTAAACCCTCTTATAAACCTATAATAACAACAATAATAATAGTCGTGGGAGGCAATCTTCGGCGAGAAGATGAGAGATGCTGCTGACACCTGAGGACATGTTGGAGGATGCAGTGTAGCCATATGAGCCATATTCTAAACTCCTTGAATGGGGGGCTATATAGGGGATTATGTGAGCCCTTTTACTAAGGGTTTAGGGTGTAGGGCAGGGGACTATGTAGGGGATTATACCGGGGAGTATTATGGGGGTTATTAAGGGTGATACTAGGAGTTTAGACAGGATGCTGTGTAGACTGTGTAGTCATATCTGGGTGCTTCTTTGTAGGATGGCTATACTTGCAAGCCAAGTTGGGATTTGTCAAAGCTTCGCTTCATGTCTATCCAAAACCCTTACGCTAGGGCAACATGGGTATCCAAAGCACACACAACCTGGTAAGTTCACCCTGCTGGCCTCACGTGGCGGCGGTCTCCAAGTTGCGTGGAAAATTTGGACTTCCCAAAATCTGAGTCTACAAGTTAAAAGGCATATTTAGAGGACGTTTCCAACCTTTCTGAGCAAATGTCACTTTGTTTTCCATTAGCCCGATATAACCCAATACATATCCTATTATAATATAGTGGCTATATAACTCTAATATTACTCCGTATTCTCCTCGTGTATGGCCAACTTGTGGCTACCTTCTAATTGGTCGACTGCCATACTGGTAAGCTGACATCTCCGGCATTGTTTTTGGTAAATGGCAGTCTCCCTAAATATGGGGACCCTAACATAGACCCCTTAATTGTACAATCCTTATTATCGGGACCCCTAAAAGATACCCCTATTTTTTGGAAACCCCAAACCCTAAACGCTCTATACCACCACATAAACCCCCTAAAGCCCTTTAAAGGTATCCCTAATTTTGGGAAACCTTCACGTTGAAAGAACTGGTTTGGGCCTGGAGTGTCTTCATGTCGGGAGGCTTTCCAGGACCTGCTCTAGCCGCCTTCGCAGTGTAGACTATTGTTTAGGGTTTAGGGTTTAGGGTATGCAGAAGCCTGAGATACAGCAATGATGATTTGCCCCATTATGGCGCAATGTTCCCCAAAGCCCCAAACCCTTAACCAGTGTAGACCCCTAATTACTAAACCCACTCCCTTTAAGGGCCTTAAATCTGCGGACCCCTATTAATAACCCCGACTAAGGGGAGTGGGTTTACTAATCACGGGTCTGGGTTACAGTAGATGGCTTAGCTGGCTGAGGTTGGCCCGTACTGCTGTGCGCAGTTCGTGGTTCAGGACAAGAAGGCAGGGCTTCCCTGGAAGGAGTCCAAATCACAAACCTGTAGTAAATGGTATAAGAGGACATTAGTTTGATAGTGTAGTCGTATAGTGCTACAACAATACAACTGTAGCTATTCTGTGTGTGAACCTGCACTGGCTCAATGTCGGGGATCTTTTTTTTGTTCAGGTATGGGATTCCTTATATCTATGTACAAAAGACACTTTTTTCTTCCTAGGGTACTGCGGGCTAAGTTCGATGACAATAAATTACAGTTGAAATTGAGATTATCCTGGTATACGGTATACAATGCGTGGAGACTTAGGGGTGCCTGCAGATTCATGGGCAGTTTTACGTGGGTAGAACCGGGTAGAGGCAGAGGCATCTTGATGCCAGTGCATGCAGCCCCTTCGAGCTTTAATGAAAATCCGAATTGCTCCCAACCCTAAGCCACGAACGTGTAAACCTGAAATGCCCTTCATGCTGTTCTCAGCTGGGACTGGGGGAACGAAACCCTTAGGAAAAACGGGATGTCAACAAGCCATCTTCGCTGTGGCTTCATCAGCAGGTCCGCGAGCGGCCACTGGAATTCTATCAGAGGATGCTGAGGCACCCAAGGAGTAACACCGAGATTTTGCTGGAACGAGCGCCTTGTGGGGTCCACGCATTACGGGTTGGGAAGTTCATCATGGGTTTCCATCAGGGTTTCATACGACCGGTTGCCTTCAGGGACCCAACAAGTGTAAGAGGGTCCCATCTTGCCATCACGAGCACCACAGTTGCGCTACACGTCACGTGAATCAAGTATGAGTCCTGAGGTTGACTGTTGTGCGCATTAAGTCTCTTGTGTTGGAAGCAGATTCTGCCTGGGGCGCAGTGGTTACCTACGTCAGTGATTTCCTCTCCTGTTACTACAGGGTTGCGGCAATGGCTGCTGCTCCCCTGCACTTTCGGCCGGGATTGCAATTCCTGGTCATTGGTCTTGCAAAAACCCCTGTCCAGCACCATGCTTGTGCCTTGGGAGGACCCCCCCACCCTGTAATAGTGGCATAATAGGAATAGAAGAGGCCCGGATATAGTCCCTAGTATCCCTTATAGCCACTATTACAGGGAGGGGGGTCTACCAAACTTGTGCCTTTTCTACCTCCCATGCTTTGGTGGGAGAGGCGCCCTGCCCCAGGTTAGTTGATGGCACCATGCAGCAGGACCTTTGCTTTCCAGGTGCCAGGGCTAGAGAGACAAGCGTGTTCTGACAACTTGTGTGGCTGCAGCTTCGTTAGCTGTCGCATGAACTCGCAGAGGTTTGACGTGGTATCTTTGTAAAACTGCATAGCTTTCTTTCACCCGCCTCGGTCAGGTTGTTTGGTTCGGTTAGCGTCTCCACCCAGAATCTTGAGAAGCGCTTATGTAAGGAGTTTTTTTTGACTACGGCGCATGAGTATGTTTAGGGACCCCAGATAGTGATTACAGTATGCAAGACAATCATAGTCGCCCACGTCCGCTAGGCAAAGTCACACGCTCCACGCACTGCTATGGCATGGAGCAAGCGGCTCAGCAAGGGCACATGACAGTACCCTCCTCTTAACTGACGTGGAAATTCTATGGCCCCGTGACGACTATTGTCATTCTCAACAAAGGGCCCTATATGGGGCTCCAGGTTAGTTTTGATGGGGCAATCTACAGCCCTGCTTATGGCTACTCATGAAATATTGACCAGCTGCCTTTGCAACAAAGCTTCCTATTAAACACTAAGCCCTAGACCCCAAGGTTCACGTGGCACCTGGTCTTTGGCGAGGACTACGATCCGCCATTACGCCAGGACGTTCCTTTGAACATGCTTTATGGGTGTTGGGTGCGAAGCGTCTGTAATAATACCAAAAGTAGCAAAACTAGCAAGTATAGTAATAATAATGATAGTAGTAACAGTAGTAATCGTAATAGTAAAAATAGTAGCAGCAATCATAGCAATAATAGTTGTAAGGAGTATGGATTTCATGAACATCGACAGATTCACAATAACTTCCTGGAAGCCTAGTCTTGTTCCGGAAGTTTTTGGAACAAGGAAAAGCGCAACAGAGTGTGGAACAAAGAAGAGCGCAACATTCAAACGCTGAATTGTACGTCATACAGCAACTTGTGCTTGAGAGCCTTCCGCTTCTATCACGGGTTTTCTGGAGGATGACCAGCGTCTTCCATTGCCGCTGCGCCTCAAATTTGGGAATGAGTTCATCCGGAGGCGCTAGTTCTGCAAATTCATCGAGATGGTCCATGCTTGAAGCCGTGCGAAATTCGCGTGTGATGAAGTGTAGTGGTGACAGGGACTGGAATGATGCCGCGTGCTGAGCTTCTTGATTTGGGCATGTCTCAAAAGCCTCCCTGTATAGACTTCCAGCATAACAGGATGATTCAGGTAGAAGCTTCCCCAAGAAGGGCCTCAAAACTACGGAGTGTTGTTGAAATCTTGCTCCCTACAGTTGTGAAGAGCCCCGCTCAAAGCAGTAGCACTAGGGCTCCCAAAAGGGAGTAGGGCGTGAGTCCTCAACAGCGGATAACCTCACAGGGCTGTACGCAAAACAGCTAAGAATCACTGAGGTGGTCCTGAACCCCAGCACCCCCAAGAAGATCGTGGAAGAGATCAATTATGACCAGATGACCGTTAGATGAGCTCAGCATGTCCTGCGCTGTGCAGAAAGGAGACGATCATGATGCCCTAGACCCAAACCTTAAGCCCTAAACTCTAAGCCTTAAACCCTAACCCCAAGATTTTTGGATTGCAAAAGGGCAGTCAAAAGGAACTTCCATCGGTTGGGTTTGCTTTCAAGGTTTGGGGCTCGGGCCTGACAGTGGGCCCAACGCGGTTTGGGGTTTGGGGTTTAGGGTTTAGGGTTTAGACGACCCTAGACTGGGTTGCTGTTGAGGAACTTCAAACTAGCTTACTGGTGGTTGGTAGGGAATGGGGGAATGCTGTTAAGGGTTTCGGGTTTAGGGTTGCTGTCAGAGAGTCCTCCTTCAAAAACGGGTTGCTGTTACGGAGTTTAAATCAAGTTACAAACTTTAAGAAGGGAACCCTATTATTAACTATATAGCCATATTATGGTATAGTGCAAGTTTTGGTTACATGGCTTATATCGGACGGTACCGGCATGATTGCCTGGAGTGTTGCTGCTAGAGTCTCCAACACAACACAAGCTCCTGACGTTCTTCAGCTATTCTGGGATGAACATCGAGTGATCCCTTGCTGAGTTATGGGTGCTGAATTCTAAAGCTATGCCAACTTGAGCATACTGATACTGTATGAACCCAGCTTCATGCGGATTGCACATTATGTTTTCCCAGCAAGTTCATGCCATGCGCATGCAAGGCAGGCAGGATGCTACAATGGCCATGTTCAGGAGTTTGCTGAGTCCTTGGGGGGGTCTTGCTACCTGAGCCGCACATCATGAATTCGTGGAGAGATCCTCAGTCCGGCTCAGCGAATGCACGGGGCACGTGGCCGGACGAGCTTTTGAGGGGGCTGCGAGGCTGACGTGCGTGACAGTTGTATGGGACTGAAAGGAGGAGGGGGCACTTTCCTGAATATTTCAGTTCAGAGAACCTCATGAAACTCATTTGAGTGCGCCCTATTGGGCACATGTTTGGGACCAGAATGTAAGTTGCAGAACTGATGCGATGAAGTCCTAGTTTTTGCGTCGCCTGCGCACCTGCTGTAATATTACACTCTGCTTGAAGCACATGATGTAAGTGTACGAAAGCAGTAGCTGCAAGCCAAGAACCGGAAGCTACATGCATGCAAACAATAGTCACTAGTCTCCCTGAAAACATCCTCAGCAGCATAGCTCGCATGCAGACACCCGCAAAGTTCAAGTTCAGTGAGCTTGGACCAAAGCCTGGGTCATTGCGGGTCATGTAGAGCTGACAAAATTTATCGGCATGTGCCAGGTCATGCGAAATCTGAGAGTAGCAAACATAAAGTTGCGTTATCTGTCGGGAAAGCGATAAGAGCAAAAAAACAAAGAACAAAACAAACACTTGTTAACGTGGATGGAAGACTTGCCTCTCGGTTTTTGGCGATGATCAAGTTGCTATGAGCAGGATAGCCGTTCCTCACTCGTATCTACCCATGAGCCTCGAGCAAGGACGAATTAAAGCAGGTCCTACTAATCCCTCTCTCTCCCTGACATTAAAACCCACCTAATATTTGATATTCCCACTATCTTATAATATGCCACAATTGGGAGTATCTATTTGGGGGAGGGTAGTTCTCGCTTCACGCAGCTCCACGCAGCTTCTGTGAAGGTAGCCGCGAAGATGTCGCAGAAGGTTGCTCCAGCTTTCGCTGCGCTGTTTAGGGTCTAGGGTTTAGGGTTCGCCCACTCTACATAAGAGTTCCCCTAATCCAATACATCCCGGATCAGGTCAAACAATAGGATCCAGGTAGGTTCTGGCAGTTAAAAGGCGACTTTCAAGTAGGATAATTAAGCGTTCTAGCACCTTCCAGTCGCCATCACGATTTTGCAAGCTGGGTTGAAGGATAAGATTCCTCATTTCTTGTACCTATGGCTTAAGAACAAGGAGATGCTCATAGGAATATATTGAATGCCTCAAGAGCCTCCAAATCTGCGCTGGCAGGTAGATAGACCTTTCTGCCGGCTACGCCCCCCTGAGAGCAAGAAGCTTCTTTGTTTTCTTCGTGAATCTTGCGTTCAGCTCTTGACGTAACAACAGCATGCAGCTATGCGACTTTCACACCATGTCACAGCTGTCAAGTTCCCATCCTGGCAATTTTTCCGACCCCCTTGCCCCCACCTCGCCTGTTCCCGGCAACACCGTCGACCACAGACTGTCTAAGCAGGGTGCGCTACCATTGGTTCGTACCACTGTAGCAGAATCCTTGCAGGTAAGACGCACCAACCATGAAAATCTCTGGAAGGTGGTTGTGGCCTCCGGATACTTCGATCCCCTGCACTACGGTCACATCGAATACTTACAGCGATCGCGGGACCTCGCAACCGTTTAAAGGGGTTATATGGGGGACATATCGGGTTTATATAAGGGAAAAGAAAGTGGAAACTACTACTTGGAATTCTGGGTTTACCTGTAACCCCTCTTACCTACGGTGTAGAGGCGATCGCCCCCCAATTGGGCCATAATTGGTATGTATAGTCCATTAACCTATAATTGGGGTTACAGGTGCTGGCATCAGCGAAGTTTATGTGAAAGGCAGCGTTCTTTTGCAAACTCTCGTGGAGTAGGGAGAGAAATCTTATACTTTCTTTCTCAGAGAAAGCCCGCATGAAATAGCTGTTCAGGTCATGTCCGCGCAAGATAGCAGCAATCCCCTCCCTTACTCTGAAAAAAAATAAAGTTCAACATACAGTACAAAGACCGCTACGAACTGCATTTTCGTTATAAGTGGAAATGGAGGTTTTAAGCTGCCATCTCTCCGGAAATTTTGAACAGTACCGTTCTGGGGGGTCCGCTATTGATACGTGCTATTGATACGTGCTGGGTAGAGTGCACAGAATAGCAGTGGATGGCACATTAGTGGCGACAAAGGATGGGCTGCACATACGTCGCAGGTATGTTTTCAGATAAGAATATGCGGCTTCCACAAATTTGCGCAATTAGGGGTTGCTTTCGGGGGAGTATTTTGCGGTTTGTAAAGAGAACCATACGGACCCCTATGGACGGAAGCTCCCGTATCTTCACATCGAGACTTGTGAAGTTTCTTTGCATGACGATTGGAAGGGACACAGCTGAACAGTGATTCCAGTGAGGACCTTGGCGACAAACTCATTGTTATCGTCAACAACGATACACAGGCCATCTGGCAGTTTCCCTAATTCTGCGGACCCCAATACAGACCCTAAAATACTATAGTCCTTATTATAATAGCGGGGTTGTCAAACGCCAGTGACCAAACAGTACCTTTCTTCACTTCAGTCCCCAGAAAAGGCTTGTGGCTACAAGCCGAGCTATAACAAGGAGGGTTTCTATAGTCATTACTTCAGTCGCTTGGGTACTGGCGGCTCGACTTACTGGGCTGCTGTAAAGGAACTTAAATGAAGTTGCCATAATGCAGAATTTATAGTAGATAATGGGTTCTCCTCATTATAGTAACTTAGATTAAGTTCCTTAACGGCAACTCGACTAATAATTACACAAGGGCCTCCAAGTAGAGAAAGCAAACCGAAGACGGGTCCAGGGATGGGATAGCAGGCGGCCTGCAGACATCAAATCCGAGGTTTCGTTAAGAATTTTAGGGTTTAGGGTTTGGGGATGTAAGTCCTTTTTTGGGTTCATACAACAACTCTGCTGTTATGTTTAGGGGTAACGCAGGGACCATCGTGTTGACATGATCAGCTTTTTCTGTAGTGCTGGGATTTGACGCGGCTCCCACTCGAACCTACAAAGAATAGCGTAAGCTTTCGATTTTCCTGCAGTACTGTCCGGCGATCAGGGACCGTGATGCGTCCTCCGGTCTGAAGTGTAGCAGAACAGCAAGCTCTTAAACATGGTCACTACATCATATAGTTGCAGAAGAGCCAGATGACCCAGCAACTGTACCTTCATCCCCTTCATACTGGCAATTCGGAGTTAGTTGCGCATCCAACTCAACTGCCACCTGTCCCAAAGCTGCGAGGCTTTTTTCGTGCTATGGCGAATGCATTGTATTGTGATTCTCTCATTTTTTACATTCCATTTATTTAAATACCCTTCAGCTGCATTTGCTTCATTTTTCAGGATGGACTTCACCTATCTACGCCTAAAACGTGGGGACTTTTGCCGAATGGAACCTTCAGAAATAGATAGAAATAGTGACCCGTAAATGCACATTAAACCTTGAATTTTATGAAGCAGAGACAGTCCCTCATCCGGGAAGGCTGCCGACAAGAAGGGCCAGCCATTCATGCCAGGGCCGTGGCCGATTCGTCACTCTTATTAGAGGTATTTGTACCGTTATTACGACTTTTTACCGTTATGGTCAATACTACCAAGAATAGTACGATTATTAGTCTGAGGGTTTCAAGGATATATGGAGATTACAAGAGGGACTCTGGGAGTCCTCATTAGGCATTCCAGGAGACAGTTCCCATGTGAAGGGTTTACCTTAGGTGGACCCCCCCACCCTGTAATAGTGATGTAATAGGAACCCTAATGTAATCAGCATTATCCCTGCTGGTCACCATTACTGGGTGGGGGGTCCACCTAAGATTTACTACTTTTGGTGGACTTCAGGCGCCCGAAAAAGCTTCGCACAATCGCGTTTAAGGGGCTATAGAACTGAGGCTGAGGCCTCCATGGCCTTGAGAGCCTTCATTGAGGTGGACAGCAGAGACTTTAGGAGATTACCCTGGAAGTTACTTGTAGCATGATTTCTGAGACAAATTTCCGCTGCATGATGATTCGGAGTTTTGCTAGCTAAGTAACAGCTCTGGCGAGAAGTCATTGGAGCGATGTGCGTAAGCAAGTTGGCTTGCATTGGCATAGTAGGGGTTGGTGCCTCCCAAAGTCAACCTAGCGTCGAGTCCCTTGTGATTTCCCCTCCCCCTAGTAATGAGCTTCTGCACCCCACTACAAATCGATATTCCCCAATAGCACACACGGGCTTCATATTGAATATCAGGGGAGGTGATTCTTGGTTCAAGGCGGAGGCTTAGGGG